AAAATAGTATAATAATGATAATTAATATTATAATATGGTCTAGTGTTAGTTTATGTTATAATCTAATATCAATAATGTAAAATATTTTTATAATTTATGTAGTTATTAATTTCATGATCACACAATAAAAACACATTATTACATCACATAGGTTTAAGGTATATGGAAATTATTTACCTACCTATCATAAGTACATGAAAGTTCTGTTATCTATAAGTAAAAATAAAATAAGCTTAGTAACTTTAGTAGTAGAAGAACTCTACATAATATAACATATTAATATATAATCGTTAATATTCGAATAATACAGAACGGTTCTTTTAACAGTACCTATAAATACCTATCTCAAAGTAATTAAAGTTTTTGAAAACAATTGTTAACATAATTCAAAGTTACTAAATAACAAATTTTTTTAAAATGTTTTTATGAGTAGACTTTCTATAATGGACCAACATTTTGCGGGGATATCCTTATACCATTCCATTCTGTTCATCTCAATGTTAAATAGCTTTAAATAATTAACTATTCATTGACGGATATTTGGCTAAATGTACCTATTTATTATGTGTTTGTGCGTGAGAGAGGACTGGAAAAACCCATAATAAAAATCGGGCAGGCTTTAAACCTTCAACTTACTTCCTAAATTTTGCCACCTAAAATATTGTTATATATCTGTATGTACCAAATCTAAATAAAGTAAATTCAAAATAAGTTACTTTATGGTTTATACTAATGATAAATAATTAAATAATACATTTATGAATAATAACAATAATGTTGCGGCATGACAAAACTCTTTGGGAGTACTTGGAAGGATTTAACTCCCCCCACCATAAATCTTACCTACCTAATATTTTTGAAATAACTTAATCAAATTTTGATTTTAATAATCGATACAAATTATTAGAAAATATACAACTTTCTAACATGAAATTGAAAATAAATGGATAATCACAAGGTTTTTTTTTATGTTAATGTATGTAAATTTAAACTGTACCGACCATTAGTTTTTGAGTTATTTCACTTTATTTACTAAAGATACCTTATAATAGATCCATGGACCATGATAATGGGTTTAAGATTAAGTGGCTATGATGATTTAAAAATTAAATTAATTAATATTAATTTAAAACAGTTTAAAATTACTATAAATGTGTAGAATAAATACTAGATTCATTATTACACAAATTTTGTAATTTTAAGGAATTTTATTATTCTTACTATAAAAAATCTAATAACTTAGAATCTATTTAATCAAATTTTGATTTTAATTAATTAAAACAGAATACAAATTTAAAGAATTGAAAATATGGTTTTTAAATATATTTTGAATTTTGATAAACTTAAAAGGTATTAGATACATGAAAAATAAAAATATTTCAGCAAGTGAGTATGTTTGTTTACAGGTGTATCACTCTGTACATAATAAATAATAATACACCGGAGTTGAGCATACATTATTTGAGTTAAAATATTTTTGTCTTAATAAAACGGATCATTGGCTGATGATTTACTAATTCTAAAATACAAATTAAATGATATAAAAATTACAGGTTTCGTCTATCTAATAGGTATTATTATAAAATTCGTTATAATATAATATACGTTTATATATATAAAAAAAAAAAAAAAAACAATGTATACAAAAACCTTAGAAAATATTTTTTATCAATGATATCTACTTAGTACGTCCACAATAAAAAGCGGTACAGATGGTGTTTTTATTTATCATCATGTATTATATTTTGTACCTTTACCACCTGTTTTATTAACATTGTCAATTGTCATATTATTATTTAGTATTGACAACTGTTCCTAATTAACCAGTTTCCGCCGTTTCCGGTTACCTTTATTATACATATAATATTGTTTAAATACTAAATGACTGATTATTTAATAATTATAATAATAATAATACTCTTATCCTATATCTGTAATTCCAAGCGGAAAGCGAGTGTCGTTAATTTACATTTTTACCGGTATAAATTTTAGTAAATAATGTGATCATTTAATTTTTAATTCTTTGTAAGCTTAAATAATATTGTTCATCATACACGTCTATGCATAATTACTAATGAGTAAAATGACGTAAATGACTAAAATTTATGGTACTTGATTTAAACGACGCCAATTAGATATATACTCATAATGCCAGTATTCTATAAATATTAATAATAGGTAATTAATAATATAAAGTTTACATTTATGAGTTAATTATTTTATGATATTACATTTATTTTGTTCACACTTAATTATAAATTAAAGACATTTCTCACAAAAGGAGCTCCAATTCATTTCTCACTAATATTACCATTTTTATACAAATACCTAAAATACCTAGTAATGTCCAAGTAGTAAGTACTAATAACTAATTGTTGATTTGAGTCTAATACAATGTCGGGATTATGTCGCTAATATTTACACACAATGTGTGTATGTCGGTATAAATAATTAGGTACCCGCGTATTGCTCAAAGAAGATAGTAATTATTACTGTCGAATGGCAAAATACTTATATAATTATTGGATGTTATTAAAATACGCTATCAACAAAGATAAAAAAAACTATTATTTTATTAGTTGAAAATACGTTACTGTTATTATAACATATAATATGTTCGATTTGTGATAGAATTTATAGTCAATCTTTTATATATTTTTTAATTAGAAATTAATAATTACTAATGAAAAGTTATTGGGAAATTACAACAACCTCGTTAATAATAAAATATAATAATAATTGATTAAAACAAACTGCTACTGAAAAATAGATTGTTTTAAGTTATAGCTCAAAGAGAACAAAATAAATAATTGACAAATCAACACACCGATATTTAATATCTGATATTGGATAGATTCCAAACTTGAAAGTTGAAACCTTTTAATAATTTATGGTAAACTTCGTTGATTATAATCAATTATTATTAATCATCTCATATAGTCAACTAATAAACACAATTAACTATAATCGAGACTAGCTTAGGAATTTTTATTTTATTTTTCATAATAATATATGCTCACATTTACATTTTCCTTTGAAGAAAGCCATAATAATATTTAAACGAAAATTATAAATGTAATTACATATATTTTTAAAATAAAATATATTTATCATTTTGTATTTTAAAATTAATTATTTAAATAACTGCAAATCTAAGTTTTTATGATTTTTTTTTTGTCAGTTCGTTGAAAATTTTACCAGAATTTTGATATTATGTTTTTGAAGGAACTGAGAATATTAGAATATTTCTAGATTGTAAGAATCGTATTATTTAATCAATCATTATTATTTATTTTTTTCCATTACATAGTATTGTACTGTAATATAGTATTGCGCTATAATAACTTCAATAATAATTATATCGGGAAACTTATAAAGAAACAAAAGACGCGAGTGTGGTATTGAACAAAATGCGGAACACTTACTGCATTTTCAAAGCTGCCTGTTATCCTATTTATAATAATAACAACAACAATTAATGAAATTGCAGTGACAAGATTTTGATCAAGGAAAATAAATGTAAGTAACTAACGTGACAAATACCAATTTACAACTATGTTACTTTAACTTTTGAGAACTAAATTATTAAATTATTTATTTATCTTTATAACCTCATTCAAACTTAAATTTTTCATAGCTGATTTGCTCCTACCCTATGCTCACGTCAGCTATGTATTTAAGGTGATATGTTAAAAAAAAAATGTATATTAATAATTGAAAAGATATTAAATTCATGTAATAATAATAATGTGCCAAACGGTGTAGACGCTACAGAGGTCATGGTAAAGACAATTTCTTTTGTCTTTCATTTGTGTCCTTTATTTTCATATTATAACTTTATATTTATAATACTCTGTATAAAAATATAGAGCTATTAATAACGTTTACTGTTATAATTATTTTCTATAAATTTAATCTATCAATAATTAATGTTTAATAACAATTTATTATCTAAGAAAAAAAATGTATACAGATTTTACAGTCTACTAATCATTAACTTTGACTTTGAATTGTCCTAAAGAATAATAAAGTATATTAAATTACCATTTTATTTTACCATTTATCGCATTTTAAAAATAACGAAATTAATGAACAAGTTATTTTAAGTACAGATACTTAAGGTATTTATACATTGCATTTTATCTTTATGAAATACGATAAAGTAATTATAATTTAAAAGAATTCACGATTTAATTTTTACTCACAAAATTATATGAATTTCTCTTTTGTTAAATAAAAATATTAGATGAATATCCTAGATCAGGGGTCTCCAAACTACGGTCCGCGGGCCGGATGCGGCCCCCGAATAAGTTTTCACCGGCCCGTCAAATAACGGAAAATATTCTAAAAATATATATACCTAGTTTTCATTGTCGTTATAGCGCGCACGAGCAATTATCAGCTGTATTAGCTGTAATTTATAAATTATATACGAAAATTAAATGTATTCATACATTTTGGCCCGCTAAGAGCTTTTTTTATTTTATGTGGCCCTCGGATAAAAAAAGTTTGGAGACCCCTGTCCTAGATGATAAAAAAAGAGTTCTGAATATATGTGCTGTACAAGTATCTTCTAAAAAAATGCATACTTTCTTATCATAATAGAATTCAAATATAACTTAAACAATTTATAAATGCGCACTATATATTAACAAAAATACTATTTTGGAAGAGTTCCACGCTCAATTAAATATAGTGTTCACCCGACACATTTTTAAATAGTCAAAACTATGTACGACGTGCGCAATACCTTCATTTGGCATATACCTACTATATATAACCGTTTTTAGTTTTCAGTATAAACAAATGTTACACACAAATACGTATAAATATAATACAAACTACGCATTTATTTATTTACAATAAATTATACAAGTATATATTATTATAAACATAAATATACAACAATTGCATTAATAAATAATAATACAAAATAAAAATACCTTCATGGTATACTATAATTTAGATATAAAAAATATATATAATATTATACATACTAGTATCTATTTAATGATATTGATATATTATAGATATATTTATACAAGATATATTATGCATACAATTTAACAGAACTGAAAATACTTGAACAGTGAGTTGAGAGCTCTTATATACTATATATAGCCACAATTGAGAAGATATTTGTTTTTATACACACACACGAAATCTCATATCCAATCCACAGTGTAGATAGATATATTATTTATCATAATTAATACAACATACATATAATTATATACCTATATGATTAGTTTTTTGTTTGAGCGATATTTAAGCACATCAATATATAAAATAACATCACATACACTTATACTATATTATAAACATATATGTAAGTAGGTAAAAGGTATATCACGTTTTGGACGTCTTTGACAACTTTATAAAAATAATAACAATACACTGCGATCACGTTTATCATCGTGTGTGCATATATAAAAAAATACAATGTAAGCACTGCATATTTGCAATTCGTGTGGAATTTAATCCATCGTACGATGATAACAGTAATCACAATAATGATGATAATAATAATAATAATAATAATAATAATAATAGTAATAAATATTAATAATTATTCAACATCAACGAATTAAAATTTATTTATAACTATATTATATTATGTATAACCCTGTCATAGTTGAGAAATTGTAATTGTTTCCTTAGTGTAATACACGTATTCATAATTTAATTACAAATAAATGATATCACAGAGTTAAAGTATAATAATAATGTATACGTGTCAATTTTAACGTCAATGGTATTAAATATAGGTACTCGTCTCCGTTAGTCCTACTCGTTATTTGTTTGTTTAATATAATAAACGTCAAGTAGGATTATTACTAAAACATAATAACATAACTTTACTATATTCGATCGCATTATGCGATCGAAAACGCCCGCAAGACAAAATAATATCATCGCGTGCGGTGTACAGTTTTTAAACGCCGAGTAAATGTCACTCGGGTGGCGGCGGTGCTCGATATGAAAATATGGCCGGGCAATTATTATTATTCGATTTTCGGGCGTTTGTGTTGTAATATTTTAACACTAACGTCGAAAATCATATATTTTCATAATGTGTAATATTATGTATTCTGGTTGACGGACTTACGACGGTAACGAAATAGCGGACACTCATTTATGACCGTTGTCACACATATATACATATAACGTCGGTCAGATGTTTAAGCACCTCAACTTCTTTTCAGGCACCATGGACGAGAACGACGGCATGCTGTTGGTGGTGAGAACTTCGTCGAGCCGCACGCCGGTCATCTGCAGCTGTTCCAGTACGAGCAGCTCGAGCTTGTTGAGCTCGAGGTCGACGCGATTGGCGGGCGCGTGCTGCCGCTCCCATCGCGCCAACAGTATTACGTACTCGGCGTTGTGGCCGGCCGGTCCCGAGCACGTGGCCACCTGCGCGGCCAACTCGTCGACGGGCGCCTCGCCAAGCCACTGGCCGTTGTCCGGCGTGGCCACGTACACCGTCGCGTTCACGGTCCGCCGGCAGTCGTCCGCGCCGTCAGATCGCACGTCCACCTTGTGCACCTCGTAACCGCCCAAGTACACCTCCCGCATCTCCAAGTATCTGAACGCCTTCTCGTCCGGCAACAGGAACGCCTTGCCCCATACGAAACCCTGCAATGAGAAACACAACGGCGACACCAGGTTTTAGGTTTTATGTTCTATGCATATATACGCGTATATAGGTAAATATATACGTATAATAATAAAATTATATATTATGAGGTCGCAAAAAATAAAAAATTTCCACCAAACACAACCGTATACAACCGATACCATAAATATTATAAGTTAACTCGAATGTTTTCAGTAAATGACAGGTATCTATGTTTTGTTTTATGCGTGTTTGTTATTGCCTATATTGAAATTAGGATTGGGGGGGGGGGATCACCCTTCGTGGTATATTGTTTACCTTGACAATTTTTGCACTGATTTGATTTTAAGTCTGTGAGCGTCGTATCTGATATAGGTGTGTAATGTTTATACAGCACGAGTTGGAATCTCACTTTCTAAATTACAATGTCCACATTAATAATACGTTTATAGTTCGGGTTTACGCGTTAATTGCAATAACATAATATTATAGCTAAACATATATTTATTGAACTTACGACCCGTCCACGACAAAGAAAACGTTTATTTTTGTCTAAGCTTTCCTAATTCTAGCTAATGTACGTTAGTGTTAAGGAATTTTATTAATAAAAATGATTTATTTAGATTTAAACATTGTTTGATCTTTACTACTCTTAATATAAGAAACTCAATTGTGTTAACTACTTTATTCAAAGCAAAATAACTACAAATTTGTTATCAACATTTTATACAAATGAAGGCTACATTTTTGAGTACATATATATTGGCAACAAAGTAATAGTATAGTGTTTAATTTTGATATGACGCACATCCACCACCATCACTCACCTTACGCACTACGCACAAATCAAACACTTCTTTGTATAATCGAAGAAAATGCAATTATTTTTGACGAGTGCATTAGGTAGCTCCTAAGAATTCGTTATAAAAAAAAAAAAACCATAACACGTTTTTCATGTTGATTTTTTAAACAGATTCTTGTCTGTGTGTAGAAAAGTGCGTAATTCAAGAAGTACTTGAATGGAAACATTGGAAACCCTAAAAAGAATAGACAGGTTCGTTCAAAATATCGGTGGATTTATTGTGTTTATGTGTATATATATCCATATAATGAGATACGAGAGTTTAAAAGTAAAGTAGTCAAGGATCGCTAGGGGACTGAGAAGAGGGTAGCCAATATATAATAACATTTGCGTTCAGTTGGTTAACATAAACTATAAACAGCTTGTTAAGTGATTTTTTAATTTTCAATGAAATATTAACCTTTACACCAATATTGGTAGTTTTTATATTACGCATAGAGTTGATATAAGTTTATCAAACATACAAAGTCAAAATTTATTGATTAGTAATCACTCATTCTTATATTTTTATATAATCTACTATTGTTCTACTAAATATAATGTAGTTTATTTCATTACATAAAATTGGAACAAAATCAGTAAAATCATCTTATTATACAGTATTTTTGTTAATTATATGGGATTAAAATTGATTTAGGGTATTTGTTTTTATAATAAGTTATTATTACGTATTAATATTTGTGCAAAGTTATTATGCTAAGTGATTTGTATTAATTTATTAATTAAAATGTTTGATTCAAAAAATATAAACAAAATAATAATCGTCCATTATTTATAATATTCGAAACCTTTAAAAATAATTTAGTAAATTTATTTTTCAGATTTAATACATATTATATATTATAATCTATAACAATTTATAGTTACCTATTATTGGAATATATATTACAGTTAAAATAAATTAGTTGAAAATAATATAGTATAACATGATTAAAAGTTAAGTCGATATGTTTATAATAACTATTATAATAGACAATTATAGGTTGAAAAAAGCAAATGCTATTAAACCTCAATAATAAATGTTCGATCAAGTCATCGTACTCCTTAATATTATTCCTATCATATTATTTCCTTAACAGTGTATATAATAAAAGTAAAACTATTTCATTGAGAAATATATACCATAAAAACTACCCCTACAGTCTTATTAATACCAATTTCATTTTCAAAGTAAAAAGAAATATAAAACAATAAATATATCCATTGATGAAATATGATTTTAATTTAGAAATAACGGGAGTTGGAATTGGAACTGGGATAAGAACCTTTTTGTTTTATATAATGTCTGTTATTATTTTTAGAACCCTCTCAAGGTTACAATCAGTTATCTTGAGTTTTGATTTATAATCGCTACCGTATTAAAAAAACTATAAACCTATACTTTGACTCATGACGACGGCGACGCGCCTAAAAACAATTCACAATTGTTTTTTCTTTTGTTTTAATATTTTTGAGCATACTATTTAATTATAAATATATATTGTTGTATTATATACATAATAATAAAATCTTTGCAATATATGTTTTTTATATACAAATACTTTTTAGATTTTTAGCGAAGCAATAAATACATTTTATTTATGAATATTAATTACTCATAAAACTTTATCTCCTTCAATTATTTAATATAGATCCATAGAAATTAATTATAACATATTTATAGTCGTTATAAGTAAGAACATATTTCTAAATATTGCAAATGTAATAAACTTCTTAGTTTGTTCAGGAAATTGATAATAAACTAATTTGTATTCTAATTTTTTTGATAAAGTGATATTCTCACTTAAATCTATTAAAACACGAACGTATCACACGTACAGAATACTATATTCATTTGTAAGTAGATTGAACGTACTTGATTACTACGTATTTATTTATTGTCATTTCCTGCATAGTTCATTTGATATATTATTATCTACAGAATATATAGACAAAATAACACTACACACAGCATTTCTCATTCACAATATAATAAGCTACGAAGGACATATTTTTCTGTTTACTAAATGGAATGTGGTTAAAGGAATACGTTTCGTTTCGGTATCAAGATGTATATAAAATATAAATATTAAACTTTAGTTACCTGAGGGTCTTCGACTAATGTAGCTACACGTCCAGGCTGAAAAATACAACATTAACCTAAGTTAGTCAAACACTAGTTTTCGTTTATATTTTTATAAATAACAATAACAATAATATAGGCATACATATAATAAATATAAATGGACGGACAATACTTTCTGATGGGAGTGGAGTAGAAGTATGGTTTTGCTGTGTGGTTTTGTATTAGATACAGTTATGATTGAATTATGTTCATATAATAATATGTCTAAGTAAGAAGACCATATTGTGATGTTTATAGTTCACACATTTTCCCAGTTGTAAAAAATTCGAACAATAGACTCCTACAGTGAAGAAAATCTTATTCTTTTGAATCTCATCTTTCTTTTTTGTATAATATATTTATTTCACCTTCACATTATTCATGTTAATCGGCATGTTAACTGTCATAGCCACTCGCTATATTCTAATTTAGTAATCACAAATATTTTGGCTTTATTGATTTATTAAAATATTTAATCATATTTAATTATAATAAATAAATTTGTTAAATCTTTATACAAAACGGTACATTCAATTATTTTTACAATAAAATTATCATTATTTAAAAACTTTATTGTATTATGATTTGTTCAATAGTAACTTGTATAATAATTTGGGCTTCTCTCCTCTTTCTTATTATGCCACACGAAACCATAGATACCCCCCTCCCTCTAAGGTAATCGTAGTTGTAGCACTTCCCCTATATCAATACACTATATTCGTGTTCTTATTAATGACTCAACCAGTAGGCTATAATTAGCTTCTTTTCTATTCTAATTTAATTTCCCAGTTTTCTTAACTTATCCTTCATAAGCACATTATCTTAATGAATTTTTTTAAATATTTTATGTAATTTTTATTTATTATTTTGTATATTATTTAATGATATATAGTTATTGATAAAATTGGTGAGTTATAATATTTACCTATACGCCCTCATTAAAAAAAAAAAAAAATAAATAAATAAATGCGTATAGATAATATAAATAAATATTTTAATCTAATTAATAAGTATCTAATAGTATGACGAATAATGGAGCCAAAGTAAATTATTGTAATATTATGTATACACATTACACATACAACCGAATATTATTAAGTATAGTTTTACTGGTTAGTAAGTACAAATAAATCATAATGGAAACTGGTTATACTAAAGTACTAGACGATTTATTAATTATTAGAATTAAAAACAGTTTATAGATAGCACGATTAAACTGATGAATAATAAAATCAAATAAATTAACTTTGAATAATACATTTTATTGAAAATATTTAACCAAAGATTGTTAAAGATTTAAATGCATTTTAACTTAATTGTTCAATGATTGTATTGGACTTGATCCATTTCCTCGTATAGAATTGCATAATTACTATAATTATAATATTATATAGTCAATAATTATAAATTCTATATGCTTGTATAAACGTATAATAATGGCAAAAAACTTGCTTTTTATCCAAATCATAAAATAAATAATGTTAAATCATATTAGTTGATTGCACCGTATTCACCATAAAATAAGTAACAATACATACAAATAAATTTCATAACGCATAAGCGTTGAATAACAGAACTATGAAGCGTTGTATATAATTAATAATTTAATATTTGCATATATGTGAATTGTGTAATTGTGTATACATTATACAGGTAGTTTAAATTTAACGATAAAAATAAAAAAATTTCTTATTTAAAATCTGACAAGTATCAACATCTATTTATATGTTTATTATTCATACAGTCAATTCAATAAATAATTTTACCTAGATATTTAACTTAACACTTAAACGTATCAGCATTTTTGATTTAGTATTTATTCTAGTTTATCATTCGTATACTTAAAAAAAAAATCATTTAACTATTTTGTTTTATATACAGTTATTCATAAACATGTTCACATTACGTTGTCCACATGATAAATGGTATCTACTGTTATTAATAAAGTAAAATTAAATTTTAGTCAAAAAAGAGAATGCAATGATGCAAACAACATAATATCATCAAAACATTATTATGTATCGAAGATTTTTTTTTTTTTATTAAAGAATTTTATACATAAAGTGACAATTATTTACATTTTAAAATTTTAATTTTAATTTACGTTTTTATATATTTATGGAGTTCTGTCAATAATATTATATTTTTAATACTACTGTTATTTTGCTGTAATCGCTGTATATTTAAGCTTTTGATGTATTTTATAAATTAAATTTTCAAGGAAAATGAGATTATAAAAATATCAAATAGACTTTGTTTATATAAACATGATTACATATTAGTCATTATCCATATAAAATAAAAATAGTTTGGTGAAATAAAATAAAGTCAATGGGAACTAAACTCTATTTTTATTTATGCATTAGATAAAAAACTTTTTAATCATCGATTTTAATAAGTATTAAAATCATTAATTAATCATTTTACTAGGTAAGAATATTCAATTTATTAATTATTATGAATTCAAGATCTAGAGGCTGTATGTGCATTATTGACTATTGTATTTATATTTTATGAAATGCGGTCAATGTTTTTTCTATATTTATTTAATATAGTATTAACTGTTACGTATTAAAATTTATACAGTATTTAAATATTGAATTCAATGTATAAATTATACAAGAAGAATTTTTCAAATTTATATTATGCATAAAATATTAATATTGAATAAAAAATAAACAGAAAATTCAATAAAAATTTACAAAATGTTTATGTTAAATGTTGTTAAAACACATATGCATAATATAACATTCGGTAACGACGAATGACGCAAGAATAATTCTTATTAATAATACATTTACAACAATCAATAAAAAATAATATTATTTATTTATTTATTTTGTTATAAATATTTGATTTACAATAACTATTTAATTGTTTTTGATATTAATTTATAGTTTTTATATTTTAGATATTTTTTATAATATTGTTTATAAATTTTAAGTTATGTAAATCGTATGATTATATATACCACGAACCACGATGTATGTAACATTAATCAAATAAATATTGAAACCATATATTCATTATTAAAACTTGTGCTACTGAATGTAATATTTAAATAAAAATAACGAATACAAATTGAAAGCTTTGATTGATAAATATAATAACTATTATAAAATATATAATTATATAAACATAGGTATAAGTCTGAAACATTTCACTCAGGTAATATGTGGAGGTCATTTTTTAAAAGAAAACTGCACTAGTCTGTCTAAAATTCCGTGGCCCTGGGCCTTCAATCATTAATGGACAGAAATTTAGATCAGTAAACCAGTTTAGTATAGTTACTACCTGTATAAAACTTAAGAGAGCATATCTTTTCACGGGTATATCTTAGCTTTTGAAATTTTTTAAATATCAAAATATTATATAAAAGAATGACCTTAATTTTTAACAAAGAAAATTTCTGTATCGATTGTGACACGATTTGTTAAAAATAGGCATAACGTTTATAAGTGAAAGGTATTTTAGTGACACTACGTATAGATAATGCATTAAAAATAATGAGTAAAAATTGTGGGGAAAATAAAATAATCCATATAAAATTATTTTTTAACAAAAATTGTGCCGAATTTAAATTATTTAATAAATTTTATTAAGGAATAGGCACGTCAAGTCTACAATTATGAAATCAAAAGATGTATAAATAAGTTTTATAAAGAATTTATATTTTCTTATAAGTTAATTACGTAGTACCTAGTGATAAACCAGTTTGATTGAATCGATACAAAAAATACGGAAATATATTTGTTGTTAGTGGAGATACTTAAAATTAAGGTAAAAATATAACGTAATTATTATTAATTATTACAATATGGAAAAAATAATCTCAGTATTGGCCTTTGCTAAATAGTGAAACTAATAATCTGAGAACCCCTTGTATTTTTGTACACTTACAACTATACAAAACACATTCACAATAATTATTAAGACTAGACATGGGAAATAACTACCTACTCAAATACCTGCTACAAAAAAAAAAAAAAAATAAATAAATAAATAAGAGGTCGTTTATGAACATAATTTTATAGAAACTTGACAGTTTACACGTAATGTAAACGAGAGAAAATCGAACGTGGACATCAATTTTCTGTATAGAAGTATGCGTAGCGTAAATTATATAGGAATTTAGTATTATCATAATAAAGAGACATTTTCAAGTGGTTCGACCGATGAAGTCGATTTTTGGTACTTTACACCGAGACCCTTCCAATAAGCGTCGGTATGACGAAAAACCGTTTATAACTGACGTTAACATTAAAAATCGTCACGTGGCTTGCACGGGGTCGTAGCAATTATTTCCCAAATAAGGCGACCGCCGCCTTCAGTAGCGGAACCACTAGACGGTAGCCAGTGATTCTCAAAACGAATGGGGAAACAAAATGAAAACATTGCATCAGCCATGCATTCACTCGGGCGGATGTGCCCGAGCGTGCTTACAAAAGTAAGTATACATATTATGTAAACACATATTATATTATCACATTATCACGCGATAAGACGTGAAACAGACAACACGTGCGCTCTGGTATCTCTCTATATATATACATATACTAAAATATTGTACGCATATATTAAAATCGAAAACTATCGATCGGCTGTAATAATTATTAATTATAATTATTATTTAAACGTTACTTTTTCCTTGGTCCCTCGGTGTGCAATGTTGCCCTGCCAGAACTTCCTGGAGAAACCCTCCACGTAACCGACCATGGAATCCTTGAACTCGAAACCCGGGTTCCAGCACAGCGACCCGTATCCAAACACCCAGTATTCGGGATCCTCGGCCATGGGAACTCTGGACTGCAGCGGAAGGGTCCGGGTAACGAAATCGTACGACGTCCGTCGTCGTGTGTCGGTAGCCGAAGAAGTGTGTAATACGTTACACTACAGTGGCTATCAGTAGGTGTCTCGCGCTGAGATCGGCCGAGAGCTGATGATGATGATGATGATAATAACAGCGAAATAAACGACGTGCGATTATGATTACGTTATACAAAACGATGTAATTAACTGCAGTGGCGTGTTCAATTATAATTAAATTATATTTAAATCACACTCACTCGCGCGTGCTCGAAGTATATGGTCTATGAAAAGCACTAGAGCGGTGCGTACGTACCAAGCACGCTTCCAGAGACGTAGTCGGCGCTGTCAAGTACGCCGAGCGGCGAGCGGTACTGGTCTGGCGCGCGTCGATCGTATGTAGTCTATCACAACGATATGATTTTTTTCGACGACTAACGTAACCGTTACGGCGTGGCGGCGGCGACGCGTTGTCCGATCGTCGGCCGACGACGACGGTCCGGCCCCTACGGTAGCAGTGGTCGTCGGCGAGCAGTGGTGACGGTGATAATAACGCGCGATTATATTTTGGATTCTGCGCTCTGTCGCACGTCTTTAGCCGCCGTCGCCGACGTTTGTTGATCGCTGTAATAATAATAATAATAATAATAATAATAATAATAAACTCACGCTAATAATATTGTTTGTCTGATGTTTGCGCTATCGCTACCCACCGGGTCAACAGACGTTTTCGTTGTGTACACGTCTTATGTATGTTGTATAATCACTATTATTAATTTTTCAATTTTAGACGGCTCGAAGAAAATTCGCTCGCGCAATAAACTGATGAACCTAAACGCCAAGGTCGATACGAAAATATCGTGTGATAACGACAGACCTTTTCTGTTTGCCGAAATACGCGGATAATACCAAAAAAAAAAAAAAATCATAACATCGCATGTTAAAGTAATTTTTGTGTCGCGTAACCGTATTAACGTATAAATAATGTATAATATAATAATAATAATAATAATAATAATACGTAATGTGATATAATGTACGTAGGTAATAATCACGAATACAGTAAAAAGCAACCAATTACGTCAATTGGGATTAAATAATTTATAATAATAAAATACACCTCTACATTACATTACGTTATGTGCTACAGATCGGTGTTCGGCGTTGATGCCGTAAGTCCCGTAAGAACCGTACCTACATTCGTACAATTATTATGATATTGGTACGCGCGTTTGTGGCGTAAGATTAATAACATGTTATTATCGTTTGGCGCGTTTTAGCCGCGCGAAGACGATAACAATTCGATCGTGATACATTTGAGATTGTAGGGCCGATTTTTATTGAAGAATAACATCTTAGTTTCTCCTCGATTGTTTATCCTATAGGTATAACCTAACCTACATACTATTATTTAAAATTGATATTTGGCCAATTTTTCCTGATTTTTTTTTTCATAATCTCAAAAATTCGATTTCTTCACATAGGTACTTATATATTTATCGTCGTCATTTATTTCGTATTTTAATTAAACATGGCAATTTCATAATAATTAAATTATTGCGAGACCGTTCCTGCAAAACCTAGTTTAAGCTGCTTAAGGTATTAATATGTTCTTTAAATCTTTGGTTAGGTACATTTCAATACCAACACTACAAACCGTCAAACCATATACGCATTGTCTGTATATTTGTATAGAGATTATATGTTTGATATAAATTATAATACAATAAACAATCAGTATTATCGTGTATTACCTTCTTAAAGTTTTTGTGGATTTATAAAAGGTATTTTCTTAAAAAGGTAAACGGTAAGCATACTTTAAATCATGTAACGCGAGATTAAAAACCTAAATTTAAAGTAGTTGGATTAATTTTCGATTGTTATAGTTTTAAATAGCATTTAATAATCTTATTGTACTTAAAAACCCTATCTAACCAATGTTTAGATGAGAGGATTGATAGTATAAATTAAAACAAATACAAGAGTCGTCAATTCATTTTTAATGAACAGTCTAAAATAATATTCTAAAATTAAATGAATCAAAGATCAAGAGAGTAAAATATGTTCAAGGTTAAAGTGAAGAAGGTGCCAAAAGCAATTTCTATATTGAAAATCATTGAAGTATATAAATTTAATAAAATTATTATTGAAACCTATAACAATTAAAATTGTTGGGTAGTGATAAGTTATTTTTACGAAATAAAAGTTTTATCATACTATAAGAAAAAATAATTACAAATGAAAAACAAATTCAATTATTCAATATTAATTTTTAATTTTTAATTAATTAATAATAATACTGTAGTACTTATAGTATGTATAGTACAGTACAACTAAATATTTGTGTATATTTCTCAAATAATTTTTTTATTAAAAATAAAACCGAAGGAAGTAACTCTACTGTAAGTATATTAAAGTTTGGGAGTACCTCATCATCAAGTAAGTTAGTAATATTGTATAGGTTATAAATTATTGCATACAAAAAACGACTTTGAGTTGTGAGTGTGTGTCAGTTTCTAAAACTAACCATAATTTATAATTTATTTATAAATTTAAATAAAAATAATGTCATTATACTATAATTTTATAAAAATATATACATTATACATATTATGTATGTGTTTCTATATATAAATATATTTAATTATTTTTAAAACTATACAAACATTTTTTTTTCTAACTGCGTATCCCGTAGAATGGTATGAATAAGTTTGTGGTATAAATAACTTAAAATTTGTCCAAAGTTTTTAAAGATGTTATTGTATACAGAAAATAATAATCTACGTAATGACAAAAAGTTTCAAATTCCTATGATTAATATTTAAATTACAACTTACAAATCAATAATTAAAATCGTTAGAAGAAAAATATTATATTATTACATTATTAATTGCTTAAATATTCAATTGCAACAAAATATAAATTTCAAACGCTCGTTAAAAATAATTTTGCCTTTGGTTGTTTCATATTTTAAAGTTGTAAGTTTTCAAATATGCATAAAAATATTTATTAACATTTTTCGGAAAAAAATTAAAATTTTAAATATTCATAAATATTAAACAGCATAAAATCAGTTTTAATGTTTTGAAAATTTAATTTACGATCAAAAATTTCCATACTATAAATAACACTTACAGTTTAAAGTTAAAGCTTTTTATGATCCTTAAGGTGTTTTCAAACATAATTGAACAAAAAAAATTATATTTTTAATCTTTACTCTAATTTAAATCTAAAATACATTCGTGTTATACGGACAATGAGTATAAATAAATGAGTTTAGATATCAAAAAAATATATTTTTAATATAAAATAAAAAAGTGTGCATATTGCACACTATGTGCTGTATTGCGCAGTAGGTACTTCCTTTTCGTTTGAATTATAAAATTAGCATGGTTAAATGATTCAACCTAATCACGGTTATCTAGCGATTATAGACATGGTTAAATGGTCTATGGTCTATGAATGTATATATATATATATGATTTATATATACGTATACATAGTAATAATTCATATTGTATATATTTTTACTATATTAATTGTATAATTTATAAAATTTTTTTTTAAAAGTGATATGCTAAAAGAATATAAAAGGATGATATGCGTTGAAACAAAATACCTAATAAAAAATATTAAAGGATACTACCTCATTCACGTTGTATTTTAACTACTAGTTCATTTGTTTTGTCTACTTACTATAAAGTAAAATATATAAAGTATTAATAGTAGTTTAAGCTAATAAAAAAAAAAAAAAAAAAAAAATAGTAGTTTATACACATTATGTTATTCGCCGGGGTAGTGGTACGCAACTACCAAAAGTTGGTAGTTCGATTAAGTTACATTTAAGTCGAGTCCCATCAATACATAAGATAGTTATTTATTATAAAAAAAATTAAAACTTAAATTAATGTTAAGCTAAAACCCTATAAAATTTTACAACACAGCGTTTTTATAAAATATATCTATTAATGGACCATATATAATATTATATTCAAACAGTATTTATAATGACTTATGAATTGAATTTAAAATATAAAAATTACTATCGATTATAAAATGCATGATACATTATAAAAGCGATTAATATTATTATTATTATAATGTACATTGAATATAGCTTAAAGATAATAGAAAAATAATTATATTACATAAGAAATAACAATGTATTCTTTTTAATTTATAATTTTTTATCAAAGAAAACATAACAGCTCAACATTTATTTGATGATAATGTTAAAAAAAATCAAATATAAAAACTAAATTTACATGACGTATAATTAATATAAAGTTTTAGATGTACTGGTCTTTTATTCTTATAATATTTTTCTAATACGTTTAAGTTAAATTTTTCTAGAAACACTTTAACATTTGGCACAAGAATTAAGTACCTATATAACAATAGATTAAATACATATAGAATAAAAATGGCTTATGATTTTTTGTATGTTTTAATCCGTTTCACAAATACTAAGCTAATACTTAAAATACTCGGATAATAACACGATAACGCAAACTCAGTGTAGTATTTTATCAAGTATAAAATATATTTAAATAGTCCTGGTTTAAATTGTAATATATTATAAACACACCATATTATTTTATTTGTGAAAACTATTGCTAGAGAATGACTATTGCATAGAAACAGATAATAAATAAGATAACTATGATAAGTAAATATCACATTAAGTAATAAAAAGTAAAAGCTTAACAAGTTATAGTTTTACCTAAGAAATATCCAATACACTGCAAGATTAAAAAAATTACAGCTTCACATATTTTTTTTACAAAAAAAAGTGATAGTCTTGATTGGTATGAATATGGCTTTATTACAATATCCGGACTAGTTTAATATTTAAACAAATGTTTTGTTTTTGCATTTTAGTAAAGAATAACTATTCTATTGTATAGTTGAAATAACACAAATCTATTTCAACTATGCGTTGTGACGTCAACTCATTGATCGTTTTTATCGATACATTTTAGTAAACGGTTTTGCGTTGAATAATATTCAATAATTACATACATTTACGTTCAACTGTTAGTAGATACAAATTGAGTATAAATATTTCACTGGATCTTAAACCAACATAATGTTAATAATTACAATTTAAAAATTAGTACATAGAGACAAAAAAATTATATAACTATTTCCATATCTATAATGATGGATGCATACCATATAGGTAACACCAGTGGTTCTCACTTCTCAACTTATACATCATGAATCTTTTTTACTAAAAGTCAGATAGTTATTCTATTGAATTTTTAATCCAATAAATAGTACATTCCAGAGTTAGATAAATTACTATATAATTTCATACCAAATCAATTATTTTTAATTTTAATATTGGCTATTTAAAATTAATTTAATTCTCGTTTAATGATAAGTTCATAATTTGTTCACCAATATATTCTCTCTTGTGCAGAACATAAATCGAATTAATACACTCCCCTTAAATTGATTGAGAACCACTACTGTGCATAGTTGATACTCATGTATAATGTAACGATATAACTAATTAAGAACATTTATATAATATATTATAATTATGCTTTATCACTAAAGGATCACGTGCATATAGTACAATAATTAGTTTTTATACTCGTGTTCAATAAGTTATTTACTTATCAAAAAAATAGATAATAACTTAAAAAATTTACTTTCAAATTTATTAGTGAAAATAAGAGAATGTAGTTTAAATTCTTAAATATTTGTAAAAATATATTGTTGGTTATATTTACCACACAATTGTAATTTGGATATAAATTATTATATTTCATTAAAAATTAAAAATCTAAAAG